TGGTAATATTATTATAATGGGGTCGACCATTTTATCAATTTTTAATTATATGAATTGTTAATTCGAAGGTTTAAATGCAACTCGAGAAATATGTGCCCGATGCCCTCTTGCCATGGAGGAAGACCTCCTGAAGGATTTGGTCGCATATAAAACTTATAGAGAAAGGCCAGTCATGATGGCTGCTCGTTCTTTAATCCAACTGTTCCGCGCCATTCGGCCAGAACTGCTTCATAAAAAGGACAGAGGAAAGCCCACAGATGCCGCTTTGGAAATATCGGAAAAAAAGTAAAAACTTTATCTCGATAATTTATATGTATACAACAGAATAGAAATGAAAATAATGTATTACATTTACAGATATGCTCAAGTTGATGCTAAAGATTACGTTTGTGGAGCAGAAGTTCTTTTGAAATCTGGGGATAAACAAGTTGAAATTGGTTCTTCATCTGACAATGATGATGAAGAATGGGTCGACATTCCTCAGTCAGATGAAGAATATATAGAATTGCATAGCGAGGGTAAGCTTATTATTGGAAATTGATTTTTAAAATCTCAGTACCAATTTTTGATAACTTTAGATGATGAAGTATCTGAGGAAAAGTTGGAACTTTTCGTAAATAAAGAAGAACCCAATGATAATATCATAGATAATAGTAATGATAACAAAAACGAAAGAAAGATTGTGGTAGCTAAACGTCGTTCGAATGAAAAAGACGTCAGGAAGGAATTAGCCCAAAAAATATCTCTCCATCGAATTCTTACAGATGAAGATTTTAAAAAGATAGACGCAGCAAATATACGAAAACATATTCGAAAGGCAACTAAGGGCGAAAAGAGAAAATTTGAAGAAGCTTTAAAGGAGCCTGCAGAATTAGTCAAAATAGGTGACATCGAAAACGTTTATAAAAAAAAGAAACATGATAAACAAACGAGAATCGAAAGTGTTAGGAAGGGGCAAATGGATAGAGAAAAATTTGGGTATAAGGATGGAAGAGTAAATTCTAAGTGTAGCAGAACTAATAAAGAGAAAAGGAAAACTAAAAACTTCCAAATGATTAGATTGAAAGAGCGACACAAAACAAAGAAGAGCTTTAAAGAAAAACAGGTTGCCTTGAGGAACTACCTCGTTAAGCAGAGAAGAATGAAATAATTTCAGATTAATTGTTCTTGTTTGTTTATTAAATCCAATAGCGCGACCAATATTATTTAATTGTCCCTTTAACCTGGACAATTGACAGTTATCATTCTTTTAGTATTATCGGGATTCATTTATGTAGTTTATTTTACGTCGAAATCCGTTTTACGATTTTGTAGATTTATTTGTATTAATATTTAAAAGAAATTATGAGTGCTGTCAGCACACGGCAAAATAGTGTTACGCAGTTAATATCAGCAATTTCTTATGCTGAAGTGTACGATGTGTTGCATACCTATTTACAAACAATTCCTTTAAATTTAATTTTTCAAACAATTTTCAACACAAAGAAAGTGATTAAACGAATTGTTCACAAAAGTGAATTTTGACTATTCGAAGCAATGGTGCTAAAAGTTTCGAGCTCACAGTGACTGATAGGGGAGAAGAACTTGTAAATCTAAAAAATATTTTGAACCCTAATGTATAATATGCAATTACAATGTGAATAGCATACTCACCAATTTAAAAAAAATATCAAATTTTACGAAATAGTTAGTAGTAGTAGTAGTAGTANTTTTTCAAACTGTTAAGATGTCAAGACAAGGAACTTAGGACATTTTTACAATCACACATAATTAATGATATAAAAAATATAAATGTAAAGCATAAAAATGCAAAACTAAATACAGTATTGCAAAATTTTATGTTTACTATGCTTAAAGATGCCAACGTGAAAGCAGCTAAAATGTCAGTAAACATTATGATTGAACTTTACAACAAAAATGTATGGAATGATGCCAAAACAGTAAATGTGATAGCGTCAGGATGTTTTTCACAAACAGTCAAGGTGATTTCAGTATAATTTTTTTTAGTTACAGTATCAATAGTATATGTATATATATTTATGCTTTTTACTTATAAAGGAAAAACTTTTTTGGTAGGTAATGGTTGCTTCCTTGAAATTTTTCTTGGGTAAAGATCCAGAGGAGAATGTAGCAGATTCTAGTTCAGAAGATGAAATAAATCCTAAGGAAATTATGTTTTCTAATAAAGTTAATAAAAAAACAAGGAAAAGAACTAAACATTTAAATAAAATAAAAAAATTAGTTGTGAAAACTCAAAAAAGGAAGTCCTCAGCACCAGTGTTTAATTTTTCTGCTTTACATTTGATTCATGATCCACAAGGTAAAATTTGTTAATAAAATAAATAAAAGGGACAAACCACATGATTCAATTACCATTTTTATAGGAATGGCAGAGAAACTTTTTAAACAGTTAGAAACCACTACAAAAAGATTTGAAGTAAGGCTGATGACACTGGATGTTATTTCTCGTTTAGTTGGTGTGCATAATTTGTTTCTTTTTAATTTCTATCCTTACATTCAACGTTTTATCCAACCTCATCAAAAAGAAGTTATTAAGATATTACAGTTTGCAGCCCAAGCAAGTCATGAACTGGTCCCTCCAGACATTCTTGAACCCATTATAAGAACAATAGCTAACAATTTTATAACTGAAAGAAATTCGGCCGATGTAATGGCAATTGGTAATATTATTATAATGGGGTCGACCATTTTATCAATTTTTAATTATA